GAAAATCACTAGAAAGAAAATATCCAACAGTCACTTTTACATATGTTGCATTTTAAAATTGATTTTACAACAATCTGCATGTGCTATTAGAGAGTTGCCTGTTTTTTAAAACATTGTGTGGTATGTCTACATTTTTTTAAATGCCTATGAAAAGAATTCATGCTCTTAAACAGTTCACAGAGGAAAAGATACCTAAAATTTCACCTACAATATAGAACTTTTGATCCAGAAAAATTGGAATGAAAAAGAATTAGTACGTTTTTTAAAAATATTACAAAGAATTGTGATCATTGGAATCCATTATGTGTCACTAGTGCACGGATTCATTAAATTTTTGGCTGGATGTAAGAAACAATTTCAAGAGAGGTGTTTTCAATATTTTGCCACTCAGATATACTTTTTGAGATTTTAAAAAAGAAAACCTTTGATATTACTGTTAAAAGAAAAATGCAAAATTTCAATGTGTGCTCAGGTTACAAAGAAAGGAGTTCAAAGCAGTAAGGGAAAATGCATACTGCAATCACAAGAGACAAATGAATTCTGAGTTAAAAGAATGTGTATTGACAGATATGAAATCAGGCAACTTTACATTAATAGTTTATATAACATAAAATCGAACAGCCACAATATTTGACTCCCTTACTAAACTTGAGTTTATGGCCCTTCTTAATGAACAGAACTTAGTTTCTTACAACTTTAATTTTCTTGAAATATTGTTAAATAAATATAGTTCATATTCCGAACTGTTTCATTCTGTAAAACTCGAGTAGATTGGTTTACATTCTTCTATGAAGTTTGAAAATAGACCTGCACATACTATATGAATATCAACATTATCCATAGCATTATGAGTGAAGTTACAAATTAGCTTGACTCATTCTATTAACACCAGCTTTACCTGCATCAGCAAGAATGACCATTTTCATCATTATATTAGATAATGAAGTCACAGGACAGATTAAGTGCATTTAGCATAACATCGATTGAGAAACAACTTTCGAGAGTTAAAGCATTGCCCTCACTTTATGAAGGTGCTATAAGGAATTTACTATTAAAAGTAGAAGGGACGAGTTCACATTCAAATAATTTTAATTCTATTGAGGGTAATCTAAGTGTTATTTCTAAAATTGAATTATATCTTAAGCCTCAGGTATATGCTGTTATTTACTTAAACTAGATAATATATGTATCATAAATACACATTTTTGACAAATATTAATAGATTTTATAATTCTCAGAAAAACCTAAACACATGAGTTTCAGGTGTTTATTATTTATACTTTATAATTTTATTTATTTATTAATATATAAATATATGCTTTATTTTAATTAAATTAATTTGTTAAAAATAAATGCTTAATAAGAACAGAGAGTTTTAGATACAGACAATAATTTTCATGAAATTTCATCTCTGAGAATTTCAAAATCATCAGTACTTCTTAAATTATTTTCAGAAATTACATTAACTCAATAACCTGCATCTGTAATAGCAAGAAAATTATTATTTCTTATCTTAACAGTTAAACTATCATCATTTGTTAGGTGAAGTTTGATTTTGATAAGGTGAAGGGGGGGTGAACATTTCTTCAAACCGAATTTCAAGACAAATGGTCTTGCAGTATTATATCTTGATAATTAAAATATGGTTGAGGATTCTGCCTTAGAACAGTAAATCTGAATATATTAAGAATACTTTCCTGTTGTTGGGATGAACTTGAAGTTGCAAAAAACTTTTGCACAATGGAAATTCAGTTTTTAAGCAAGCAAGCATTTTGTACAGATAATAAAAAGCTCAATTATCTGGAAAGCATGGAAAATGCTGAATTCTAGATATATGAAAATTTTGGATAACTCGGCATATAAAAATTGTAATTCGCATTATAAAGGCCAAATGAATGGGAAATTATCAACTTGAATATTAAATGCCTACATTTAAATTACATGATATTTTGAAAGAAAAAAGGGCATTTTAGACATACACGCCAAAGAAAGATATCATATTTCATTATGAAATTCTGTTGACCATGAAAATTATTAAAGATCTCCCAAAACTTGAGCCAGTTGTTATGACAGAAGTTTGAAGGAATAGATCATTCTTTACTTGGTTAGATAACACATGCAAGTTATGGACATAGCATACAGAAAAATTTAAATCATTTACCATATTTTTTATGCTACATTGTCAGTGTTAATCCATTTTCACATAAGACACACTTTTCTTGATGCCAGAATTCCAAATTTTAAAAAATATTCAACTGCATTCCCGCTCCCTAGAAGACAAGTTCCAAATTTTAATCTTTTTTTTTTTTTTTTTTTGATAAAAGTATATTTTAGGCTACCCCTCGGAGAAACTTGGGGATTTTTGGAGGTACATGGATACCAAGTTTGTGCAATTCTTTGACTTGTTATTCTGGCTTGCGTAGCGCCGATTTTTGAGCCAAAAATGGCAACACAAAGCCAAAATAAAAAGACAAAGAATTGCACTAACTCGGTATGCATGTACATCGACCTACTTTCACTTAAAACAAAATCACAGAATTGCACAAAAATGGCATTATGCACTCCCTTGACTTTAATGTACATATCAACTATTTTCACTTAAAAAAACATCAGAGAATTGCACAAACTAGGCCAATTTGCAAAGACAAAGACAAAATAACAAGACAAAGAATTGCTCAAACTCTGTATGCATGTACACTTCAACCTATTTTCACTTAAAAAAAATCCCAGAATTGCACAAACTATGCCTTATGCACTCCTTCGAGTTTGTCCCTGTACACATCGATATTATTACGTTTTTTTATTCTTCTGACACCAGTTGTTGCGTTATTTTCTTCCTTCGCATTCTTACGGGGTCCGTAGATTGAGTGAATAATGACGACCCTTGATGAAGTATTGAAACACACTTTATTTAGCCAATATTAATCAGGACAGCTCCAATAACACTTTTTACAGTTGTCGAAGATCTACTCTAAACACGCTGGAACAATCAGTGACACAGCCTTCACACTTTCAGGTAATAACAGTGGAGACAGCTCCACTGCAAAGCTCCTGATTCTGCTCGGTCTTTCTCGAAACGTACTCTCGAGACTCTCCACGCTACAACTCGCGATGCACTCGACAACACACAAGCACAGCTCCCGACTCTTCGGTTCAGTCGTTACCAGAGCTGAACACGCTCTCTTGACGATGCACTAACCATGATATACTATGAGACTTACGGTGCACTCGATGACCCAGTCGGCAATTGCTGCCCAGCTGTCAACTCGATCCACTCCGCAAGGACCGACTCGCTAGACGAGACACACACACTAACTGACGGTGATTAGCACGGTTTATATAGCTTTCGGCTTGTGTTCGAGAACATTTTGGGCTAAGTCGGTAAGAATTCGTTCCAGAAGGTTCTCCATCCATCCATGGTATATCGCCAATTTTCCCTTGCCATTTTATGGCAACTCTAAAACTGCTTTGCGGGGAAGCTATCTCACTGCACCTGTACATTTCGTAACAATATATTTTAACTTAAAAAGTCAAAGGAGCAACCAGTTTCACAGTAGAGGTAAACAAAAAATACATAATCTCAATAAACTACATTTTAAACCAAAATGACACACAAAATTCTTTAACAGCATCCAAAAACTTCCTAAAATTATCTGAACTAGAATCTGTATATCGGCATCGCCACATAAATTCACAAAAGTAAGAGGCAAAAATATACTATGTAGTTCCGGACTGTCCAGAAAATGGCTACTAAGTGAACCTTCATTACACACCAGTCAATTAATGCACTTTTCCCCTTTCATTTCAAATCATACAGAAACTTCAAATTAATCTTACTACATTCAGCCATTGTAGCGTCTAAACAATGAAATAAGCAATGTATTTCCTAAGCAACACACACTACAAAAGCCCTTGCAAAACATCCCATGATTCAAAATTTTCCGGAATAATGCATAGGATTACGCCATAATAGAGTTTCCATAACATTCAACTACTCAGGTTACCATAAATGATACAACAACTTAACGATAAACGAAACAACTTGGCGATAAATGAAACAACAACATCGCAATAATACAAAGGGCTTGTGCCCTAAAGTCAACTCTAGCCATTTTTTTTTTTAAGGTGCTTAAAAAACAAATAAATAGCAGTTAACTTATATCTTTTTTTTTTTTTTCCTTTTACAAAAATTAAACTAACTTATTGAGAATAAATTGAGGTTTATATAAATACAAAACATTAATTCATGCTTATCCATTATTTACATTAAATCACACTTTTCAACAATAGTTCTTGTTTGATTTGAATCATAATCTTTCTTAATTATATGTTAAAAAAGTTTCAAAAATATTTCAAATACTTGAGCTTTCGAGTTAAGCTGAATGCTGGATAATCAGGCTTTTACTATAATAACATACCATATTGCTCTGACAATCTTTGTATTGAAGACATCAATTATAATTTTATTATTTAAATGTAATGAAGAACCTAATTTTAATTTTTGATAGAAATGCTTATTGATATCTTTAAAGTTGTTCTGAGTAACCAAAACAACATTTTCTTAACTAAAAAAGTACATTAAAAATTTTCTTTTAACAAATTCCTTTCTTTAATTTCAATACAATTGCAGATATAAAATAATAAGACTTCACCTTTTAAAAAAATCTGGGAAGATATTTATCTTTTACAGAAATATTTTTTTGCAATGCACCATTTTTCAAAAAACATGAACCATTTATATCTTTAGTAAGATCAGATATAGGACATTAAAATTTTCCTATCCAAAGAAACAATATCAGAATTATAGTAAGCATTATTTATAATAATGAACTAATAAATTTCTTACTTTATAACAACAACAAAAATAATTTAAACATATATCACTAACAAGATAACAACTCCAAACCAGAAATGAAAAGTAGATAAATGAATAGTGTAAGAAATTAACACATATTTCTGCTGATCATGGAGATGCACATAAATAAGTCACTAGGCATAACTTTACCATAAACACAATGCTGAAATATTTTTATTTTACTTGCAGCTCAAGTTCTCACTTGTTTTGAAGCACTGCATAATTGTTGTTAAGACTTAGTAAGTAACTTAATTAAACAATTTTTTCCTTTCTTTCACTTCTTGACATTTCTCTTATATAAGCAATAATTTAAATAGATACATTATGCCCTGCACTGAAAATTTGATTGTCTTTGAAAATTTGGTCACAAACAACACTTCTTTTTAATTTCGTAGATGAACTTCTTGATGCACATTAAAGATTAACTCATTCTGCCAATTCTTTATAAATGCAATAATTTAGGATGCAAGAGAAGACATGTACTTTTAATCATGGCCAATAGTTAGAAATGGCACTAGCATGTAGAATCTGTATTTGCAATCAGATGTAACCTTTGTGACTATTCAATACATTTTATTTCTGGACAAACCAATTCTTTAGAAGCATATTCTGATTCACACATCATTATGGATGCAATTAGCATCCATTCTTCCCATTTTTGCACCTTTTCAACATCTTAAGACAAACACAATGGATAAAATAGAGAGGAAAGCAAGGACACATTAGCTCAAAGTAAGTAAAGCAGGAGTGTGTCACATTCAAAAGAAAGGTTGGGAAAGAGTCAAAAGGTTATAGTTCTCAAAGAAGCTTGATTTCAGTTGAAATCTGATATGCTTAAATGTACCTGTATTAGCAGCATTATGTAAGATTATATGATATGGATTAATTTGAAATGGCACAGTAGTATATATTATTATTTTTAGGACAGAAAGGAAAAATACCCAAATTAAAATGAAAATTATATGGGGCTATTGCCAATTAAAATTAAAAGTTTGCTTAACATATTTCTATTTTTATTTATTTATTTATTTATTTATTTTATTTTATGTATATATAATAAAAAGGTTTAGTTTGGAAGATTATATACTCTACTAAACATTAAATACTGGACAAAATTTGAAAATTTAATTCATTTCTTGGAATATATACAACACAAAATGGGCACAGTTTTTTTAGCATACCTACTTCACAATCATGTTAAAGCAGGGAACAAAGAGGAAAAGGCATTATGAATTTCAGAAACCATATCACTTGTCAGAGTGCTTCTTTGGAACTTCTGAAATGCTAATTTGTTACATCTTCTTGTTAACATGCATGCTCCCAGTGCTGCTATAATGGTTGCATTGCAGGACAAATTACCAGGTTTTGACTGTCGCTTACTATAATTCTGAGCCCAAAAGTTAAATACGCCTAAGGATCCTGACAATAAGTCACCCTGTCCACCACAACGTCGTGGACTACCTTCTTCAGCACAAACTATTGTATCAATACCATCTGATATTACATCCACAAGACCTTTTTTAACTATAGTGACATTACCGAGAAGTTTTGCTACTTGTGCAACATGTTTATCAGTAAAATCATGTTCTATTTGCTCATTTGATACTGCACTATACAGCCGACCAAATTCGACTTTGTTAGGTGTGAGAATAGCATTTTTATAACCCGCAATACAATCTGGTGTATTTTTCAAAAGAAATAATGCGTCAGCATCAAATACTATCGGCAATTTGCTTTCCTTTGCTAATTTTATCAACTCCCGCGTAGATTCAAAAATAGATTCTTCACGACCTAATCCAGGACCAATTACGAGGGAGTGCAAATAAGGTAGATGCCCTGAAATTTCTTCAATGAAATTAGGGCTGTCTAGAATAGGGTGTACGATAAGTTCTGGACTATAAGATTTTATAACCGGAGAAGCATCTTTCGTACAAAATACATGGGCGAGATCACAACCAGTTTTCAAGGCAGATATAGCCGCAAAGTATGGTGCACCAGTGTAGTTTTTGCTTCCGCCTATTACACCTATTCTGCCATCAAGGCCTTTATGTGATTTGTTTGACAGAATTGGAATAATTAATTCAACTTCAGCTTTCAAGTCGGGATTCATCCTCTACCACATTCACCGTTTCGAATCAGTCCAAAACAAAAATAAAGTTGAAGTGCTTAGCTAGCAGTTTCATTAAAATACATAAAATTTATAAATAGATTTTTTTTCATTCTTATTATGAAAATCTGCACTAAAAAGGACAAGGAACGTGTCTAATCTCAATTAAAACATTTTTTATCTTTATCTATAACTTTCATATTTCGTATTGTAGAAAATCCATCTCCATGTATTAGAAATTAAGCTTATAATAATAATTTTTTCTTGCATTAATAATATTCAAAATAAATCTTTTTTCTATTATTTTAATTTTAATGCATCAAAATTAAAATAATTGTGTCGACAAACTTCAAAGAAAACTGTAACTATAGCTACAAATATGAACGATGATTTGTAAACGTCATTTCAGTGGAAAACGAAATATATTTGTTAATGTTATGTGCTTAATTAGTTAATTATGGAATCTCCTGACTCTCTTGCATATCAGAAAAGCGATGATACCAGTCTGGAAGGAGATATTTCTGGCAGTCCAACAGGTCAAGACAATGCGGAATATCACACCTTAGATGAACCTGTTAAAGAGACAATACTGCGAGATCTAAAAGCTGTGGGCACGAAATTCTATCATGTTTTATATCCTAAGCAGAAGAAAGCTCTGCTGAAAGATTGGGATTTATGGGGACCTCTTATTCTCTGCGTATTTCTCGCTGCTGCGTTACAAGATGAAAGTAAGAACAACGAAAATGACAGTGGATTGCAGTTCGCCGAGATATTTTTTATTGTATGGGTCGGCGCAATTGTTGTTACTATAAACTCCAAACTTTTAGGTGGAAATATATCTTTCTTCCAAAGTGTGTGTGTCTTGGGTTACTGCTTGCTTGCACCTTGTATGGCTTTATTATTTTGTTTATTCCTCGATGTTCTCTTCAGTCAGACCCTAGCACTTTTCATATTTAAATTTATTATAGCTGCTGCAGGATTTGTGTGGGCTCTTATCGGAGCTACTGTGTTTTTGGGTGACAGTCAACCACCAAGAAGGAAAGCTCTTGCTGTATATCCAATATTTCTGTTTTATTTTGTTGTCAGCTGGATGATTATATCTCGCTCGTAAATGTTTTATTGTGTATTGAAGATATATTATTCTTATTAATATGCTATAGAAATTACTAATAAAACTTCAATTTTTAAGTTTTGTCACTTTTGTATACGAGAATGTCAGCACTGCATTTTAAAATTAACACTAAATTGAAATTGTCACCCTAATTTAAATTGAATTTTTAAATTCATGTATTTCATGCCTTAATAGCTTTTTACTTTTAATACAATATAAACTTATAACTCGCATATGAAATTTTCTGATTATTGATATGTTATATCTTTTTCGAAGGTGTTTAATTGTAAAAGCTACAGTTAAAAACTTAAAAATATGGACATATATTTAAAAGTTATTTTGTGGAATAAAATCACTACCTTTATTAAAAATTTTTTAAAACAATATATATATGAAGGGAATTTTACTGATCTCCAGATAACAAAAAAAAAAAAAAAAAGATTAAAATAAAAATTGTAATTTAAAATATAAGACGAATTCGATAATGCCTTATACTAGTTTTGTTATGAAATCTCTCTAAGTGTTGCTTTTTAGTGTCACTACAATAATAAATTAATGAACTTCTAATGAATGATGAATATATATTAATTTTTATTCAAGTAACTTTTGTTAATATTTATTTGTAAATTAATTTTATTTTCTCTAATAACTAACATCTGTATTAATGTAATAGTTTTAATTTTCTGTGTATATGGTATAAGTAAGACAGATATGAGTTGATAATTATCCTTATTTTAGAAAAGTAGATGTAATACTATAATGTGTACTACTATTACTTTGAATTTAATATAAGCATTTCTAATGAAATATATTAATATAAAACTAGCATTTAATGCAATTTAAATTCTTTGCAAAGTTACTGTATGAATTTGTAAAAAGTTTTAATCTCTCATTTGTTTATCAGTTATATTTGAGTAAAATTCCAAGATTTCCATTTTACCCAAATACAAATAATATACAAACTTATACAAATACAAGTAATATTTTATAACTTATATCCAAAAGGGAATATTTATGATTGTAATAAAAATACAATTATTAACAAAGAATCCCCCTTTATTTGAATTATGAAAATAAATTTTTATATTAATTTGTCAATTTAGAACTGTATAGAAACTTTTATATTAATTTCTTAAAATTAGGTGTACAGTATGGAATTTTTGTATGCCTAAAGATTTTCAAATAATAAGCTTAATTAATATTTATTTATTGCAAATATCAAGGTTGACTGGCTTCTTATTTTTATCTATATATTAATTTAGAAAATCAGTTTGATCTGTAGATCAACATTCTATATGATATGTTACAATGCTATGTAAATTATTTTTTATTGGCAAATAGACTACGAGTAACTACGTTGATTTCATGATTGTTTCCCTGTGTAACTTGAAATGTCGTCTGTAATGTTTTTTTCTTCTGAGGCAAATAGTCCTAGTGTGCTTTGCCCAGAAAACAAAAAATAAGAAAAGGAGAGAGATTATGAAAATTAATGCTAAAATGAAATATTGTAATAAACTGGTCAATAAATTACATCTATTATGAGCAATTTTGGGGGACATTACTATATAGCTTAATTGGAGTGATTTAGGGATAGGGAAATATATTTTATGATCATTACCATTCATTCATATTCTGTCAAATGATGTGCCATGATGCTTTCAATTATGATTAGAAATTCTATAATTATTACTTTTTTTCATTTGAGTATTTGAGTATGAACTCCTTATTCAAACTCATCCTCAGATCTTTTTTCATTAAAATATATAAAAGTGTCTTTTTTTTTTCTTTTTTTTACATGGACAAGAAATTTTTGCAATAGATAGAGCGTTATGGATCCAGATTTCCTGTCTCTGGATACTTTTGCAAATTTACATATCTGTGTTATTTTATGTTATATTTTTGGACCAGTGAATCTCTGCAGAGAAGTGAAATTCATTTAGGCACTTATATATTTTTTATTAAACCATTTTTGACAAACAGAAACTATCGCAAACAGCACAGTTAGTATTGGTAATCGATAAGAATACATTTTTGGTTTTATGTAACAGTGATCTTCAGTAAGCTAGGTTTATTTTTTGTAAAGAAGGCAATAAGTTAAATGCAGTTTCTGTGCTTTTCTTTTGCATTTTCAAAAAATTATTAAAATTTTGAATTTGCCTTCTTCAGAATAAATAATGGAATATTTTCAAATTTACTGTGTCGTCATAATAGTATACAAAATACTTAAAAATTCTGGCAAAATGGTGCAGTAAAAACTCTACAAAGTCATATGAAACCATTTAATTCCTAATTAAGGGAATGCATGTTATGTCTAGATCTAGTTCACAAAGAAGACTACAGTCAAAAAAAAGTCTGTAATCCGGACTCTTCGGGACTTCGGCGATTCCGGATCATCAGTTTAAGTCTGGTGAGATGGCATGCAGAAATTTATAAAATTAAAAATATGAAACCGTAATTTATAAAATAATGAGCAATTATGATCTAAAGGGTATCAAAATTTAGGTACAACTCTAATATACGCCCTAATTTCAAGAAATGTGGCGATATGTGTTCTGCGCTGGTTTTTTGGCACGATTGCATGTTGTATGGCAACCGTGTTGACGTTGAAAAATCTTTCGCTGGAAGCTCGTTGGTTTGCACATCATGCTCTGTGTCTGAGAAGATAGGGGGGGAAAGATAAAATGGTGGAGTTGTTGAATTGAAGTTCGGCAAAAGGAATATATCATCGTGGCCATCCTGTTGAGGGGTAGTGGGGTATTTGGAAGTGTGGAAAGAGGGTCTGGGAGATTTACTTTTAATGGCAGTGCATGATAGAAGTAGGGATTTGTGATTATTTTATTTGTGAACCATAGTATAAATTTTCTGGATAGTGTGTCTGGCTGTCATGTAAATACAATAGTGATTACGCGGCGGCATGTTAAAGGCGGTATGAAATTTATATTTCTGCTATTCGAAAACGCATTAATTCATGGTAAGTGCATTTTATTTTATCCTTGTTCTTATTTTGTAGAATGTTATGTTCTTTAGTATGAATTTCTGTTGTTATTGTTGTTTTTTTAAATTGTTTGAAATTTATTTTAGTTTATTTTGTTGCTTAGTGTCTAGACTGTGCAATTCGTAGATGTTTTTTAAAGTTGAAACAGAACGCTGTGTACTGGTATTATTTGAAATTTATTGTTGTTACGTTTTTTTATTAAAGCGAGGAGTGCGTAGATCGTAGATTCCTTCCTTGCCTAAATTGTGCAATTTGTAGAATTTTTTTAAGTTTTAAACAGGATGCTGTGTGTTTACATGGTATTCTTTGAAATTTATTGTTGTTATGTTAATTTTTAAAGCGAGGTGTACGTAGTTTGTAGATTCATTCGTTGCCTACATTGTGCCATTCGTAGATGTTTTTTTAAAGTTAAAACATGTTGCTGTGTACATGGATTCTTGTCAAATATTTTTGGTTAGAAACTTTACGTTTTTGCTATCTAAATTTTTTGTTTTTGTTTCGGATTTTTAGCTAAATTGTGTGTTCAAAACATAGTTTTTGCATGTGCGAAAACCGCGTTTTTGAAGACATTTTAGGCTAAAAGTTCGAAATGTAGACAAAAAATTTAGATAGTAATATGGCAGCGTAAAGTTTCTCGCCAAAAATATTTGGCAAGAAATTTGGCGACTTGAGGGCGCATATCAGAGTAGTTCCAAAATTTACAAAAAAAAAAAGCTTAATATTTATTTGATTACTTTATCAAACATTTCTTTCAACACGCGCATGTATAAAGCATACATTATGCATAGCCGAAAGTAGAAAATTGCAACCAGAAAACTATTTGATTTGTATTCGTGATATTTATAATGACGAGGAATTTGATTTAAATCATATCAAAGACGGAGTACATCGAGATGAAATACTACATTTAGTAAGGAATTATAAGCCGAATAAAATAAAAACATCTGCCCTGAAGATAACGATAGTGCTGACAGATCAACTTCTAGTTCATTGCACGCCGCGACGTCCCCCCCCCTTCCGCGCAGAGCAGCGTGAAATTGATAAACAGATTTCGGAACGGTTAGATAAACAAAGGATACGCCTTTATCCATTTTTTGGAGCAATTCCACTTTTTCTTTGATGGACATCGAAACATACTTCGTTTTAGATCCTTTGGGAGCTCCAGCATCGGAAATTCTTGTTGACATAATCGAAAGTTCAAGCTTACCTTTATAAAATTGCTCTAACAGTCTGCAAAAAATAATAAGCCGGATCCAATTCGAAGATTAAGGAACAACACAATCATCAACATTAATTGAAATAGATAATTAGATAATTTTAGCTTATACCGTCCGTTATACATTAAACGCGCACGCGAAAACGTATTCTGCGCTTGCTCACACGCATATGTGCAGTTTAAAAGGTCTTACGTGCACGCATAAACGCCTATGTGCATGCGTCAACGCGGCGCATTCGCAGAAAGTTTTTAGCTTTGAGGTCTGGATTATGGGTGTCCGAATTAACGACTTTTGACTGTATTTTGTAGTTATATAACAAAGTCTGAGATCCGCACTGGTCGGGACTTCGGCGATACCGGATTTGGGATTTTTTCGGATATTAGATCATCAGTCTAAACCTACTAAGATGGCATGTAGAAATTATAAAATTAAAAAATGAAATTGTGATTTGTGACCTGAGGGCTATCAAAATTTATGAAAAAAGCTTAATATTTATTTGTTTACTTTATTAAACATGTCTTTCAATGTAAGTTTGTTCAAGTTACTTCGTTTTCTGTGCTAACACTTTCTCTTTAATTCTATAGATAGATCTAATTTCTTGTTCAGTTACAAAGTTCCATTGTTCAAGTCCCATAATTGTTGCTTCGAGAATTCCAACTAACTCATCAATCGAAATTTTTTCCTTTTCAGTAACCTCTCTGTCACTTTCTTCACTATCGGTTGCGGTATTTTCTGGATCTGGAACCATACTACAGATTTCCCCATTTATTAATTGATTGATGGTTGGGGCATTGTCATCACACTGAAAAACTTCTGTTGTATCATCTACATTTCTTTACGAAATGCATTAATTGGAAAATTTCAC